GGGAGGTGGAATCAGTGATGTGAGAACTATGTATTTGAACATGAAATACTATTTGGCTGTTTGCTTTCCATATCCATTTGAGCATTCATGATTTCTTGACTCAGAATACTCTTGAAAACCATTTTTTTCTTTCAGATAGACACTGTAAGTGAAATCTGAATGGGATGCCTGAATGAAAAATTTGAAAATTCACCCAATGTTGTCTGTTTCTGGAAATGATGGGTTTTGTTTTGTTTTTCCCGATCTCTGTTGGTGCAGATAGAATTAGTGAACTTTGTACTATCTTGCCTTGATATAGAGCCCATTTAAGCTTTAGATGAAACTCACTGTAAACTGCAAATGTTACAAGTGAATATACAATTAAAAGTTCATGCTGTCTAGTTAGTGACATAAATTATTTAAATTATGTTAGTTACCATGCAAGTTGTGAGCTATATATTTATTTGGAATGTCAAAATTTGAATGATTTGCAAATTTGGAAACATTTGAGGAAGATATTTGAGAATAATTTTGAATAATTTATAAGTTCAAGGTTTTCACAGTCTGTCTACAGACAATTCATACAGAAATAAAGGGAAAATGTATCAAAGCAATGGTTAGTTGTAGATTAATCTCTCACTATTTCTGAATTATGCCAACCACTGTTTAAAGATTTTATTCAATAAATGGAAAATATAGGAGCCTTATGGTGGTTAAAACTATACCTCTAACTGATAATACATAGTCTGACCCAATTTGTAGTTGCTTAATTATAAGACAGTCTACTTATGATGTTTCAGATTTTTCTAATGGTGTGATTTTTATTAATATTTCCTTTCTTTTTGCCCTGACAGTGTGTCTGAAGACAGATTTCTAAAAGATTTCTGCATTAAAAATAAACATTCTGAACCAATAAAAAAGAAAAAGAAAAAAAATAAGTTAGGGAAGAAGACCTCTGAGACGTTATTCACTTTGCTGTACACCGTATCACTTTGTATGGAAATTCATCATGTGTCTAAGAAGGGTATAAAATGCTTCTGAAACAAAATCATAATACCACATTTACTGGAGTATAAATTAACTCCCTCAATAATCAGATTCTATATATGGAAATGTATAACTTTGTTGTAATTTTCCAGATGTAGAATCTAATTTTTGAGGTTTGCCTTCAGTGTATTCTTCCACTGTTACAGCAGGGAGAATAAATCTTGGAGGTTAGGTACTCCCCTTGCTATCTGCCACCCCAACTTCTTCCCTCTGTAGCCCTTTACCCCCCTCTTTACCGACAGAACCTACTCTCTCTGAGCACATGGAAGTGAGGAAGAAATTTGAAAAGAGTGGGTATGTCTACACAAGGCATTTACTGGGGAGTAGACTAATTAGCTCCACAGTAAATGTCTACACATGCATGGCTATTACCGTGGATTAAACTAATAAACTCCACAGCTTTCCACTGTGCAGCAGCACAAGTATAGATGCTTATCTGGCTAACTGAGGCATGAGGGTGCTTCGGTGCGGGGGCTGCCTGCTGGCTAGCCTCACACTGGAGCATCCTTGTGCCCTAGCCAGCACGTTGAGCCAGGTTGGAGCAACCCTGTTCTGGCAGGCTGAGCCCCTAGGCCCCCTGATAGCCGGGGCTGCTCTGACCTGGCTTAATGTGCTGTGATCCCAGGCACACATGTAAATACCATGCCTAGGAGCAATAAACTCCAGTGTGATAAGTGCCAGAGTTTGTGTTGCATTAAAATGCACATGTAGGTATGCCCATTGACCTTGAAATAAACATACCTGTCATAATTTGCATATAGTACAATTACTATGGGTACCCATAGACTTAGTTCATCCAGAATTGATCCGTTTTACCTTTTTTGAAATGGCTACATGCTTTAGCACGGGTACTCCATAAACACATATTTAAGCAGTACTTTGACATCTACTTTATATATAGTACAAACTGGCAGCATTTACATGAGAGGATCTGGATGAGTTACTGTGCACTGCGCAGTCATTTAGTATTTGTATACACAAGTACTAAGTGACTGCACAGTAACCGGAGTTACTGCACAGTAGCATCACCAAACAGCTTTTAGGTGACACTGACTGCACAGTAGCTCATTAGTACTGCACAGTGGTAGAGCAACACAGATTACATGATTGAGCTCTGCCCAGTTGAATTCTGGAATTTGATTATTACCAATTGAATCTGGAGCTGATTTGGCCCTTGAAACAAAATATGAAAATAAACCTCATTTAGATGCTTTCCCATCAATATGTTTGCCTACTATGGGCCATGTATTTTATAGATGTGCTCAGTGTTGGCTACTTGTAAGCAACTACTGAGCACATGTTGCTTTTGGCAGCCATTAGGCTAGGGACAGACATCCAAAAAGCCTGAACCTGAAATGATTCAGTCTTTGCAGGTTAGTCTAACCTGGCTAGCATGGGTGACTGGTGCCTCCTTAATGGGGGGGGGGGGAAGGGGGGGTCATGTCCCCCCCCAGCGGCCAGTCAGCAGCTGTGGGGGGAGTTCCCCTATGGCCAATCGCGCTGACCCAGAAGTGCGAGTGGGGCACTCAGAAGTGCCAGTGGTGCTCCTGGAAGTGCCAGTGGCACTTCTCCTGGTGCCCCCACTCCCTGGCCGGTGCTTACAGGGGGCACCAGTGCTCCCGCCCACCCCTCCCGCCTGTCACCTAAGCAGGGAATGTTGGCTATCGGGGGTGCACCAGCACTCTCAGGGGGTGCACTGCACACCTGTGCACCCCCTGTGTGTCACCATTGCTGGCTAGGCTAAATCAGTTTTGTAACCAGACAGACATCCCAGAAATGCAGGCACCTGCTTGCAGTGGCTCAGGCTAGAAGCTGGGGGTTGCTAGAGCAGCACTCCTTTTCTTCCACAGCATGAAGCTGAGGGGGGTGTGGCCAGGCTCTGGCAGGAGCTCTGATTAGCCCAGCAGGGAATTGATAACAGTGTTTATCATCCAATTAAGAAAACAATAGAGGGACATCACCAGTTACTTGTTGTTTCTGCCTGTTGATTATACCTGTTGATTCAGCATGGCCTGTAGCCAGCATGTGGTTTGCTAGCTAATACACAGACACCTCCTCAGCAAGGCAGAGGGGAGGGAGAAATTCCTGCTTAGCAGGCAGTATTGAGGGGGAGGGGGGAGCAACCCGCAGTCTCTGAAGCTGGAGCAGGGTGGGGCAGGAGAACCCTGCTGTGGAGTAGGGAACCCCGCCCAGCCCCGAGAGCATGCCAGGATGCTGGGGGTGTCTGGTTTATCTTAAACCAGCAAAGGGTCTGGGACAGATATTGCATAAACCGGTCTGAGCCAAATCAGTTAAGTCTGATACTACATTCAACCAGGTTTATCTCAGCCGGTTTCAGACATTTTCAAACTGGTTTATGTTCACTGGACATCTGTTCTGTTACAGGTTTAAACCAGTTTCTGATCACTTAAACTGGTTTATGTGTAATGTCTGTCCCTAGCCTTAATGATAGACAATGTATTTAACGAGGTTCTCTTGTATGTGACTATTAGATGAGGAGCTTTTTCCCCATATGCTGATTGGGGGAAACAAAAACTTTGTTATATTCAAGTATCATAGAATCATATAAAATTAGGCTTGTGAGGGACCTCAGGAGGTCATCTAGTCCAACCTTCTGCTCAAAGCAGGATCATCCCTAACTAGATCATCTCAGCCAAGGCTTTGTCTAGCCTGGTATTCCACAGCCTCTGGGTATCTTGTTCCACTGCTTGACTACCCTCCTAGTGAGAGAGTTTTTCCTAATATCTCACCTAAACTTCCCTTGCTGCAACATGAGACCACTGCTCTTTGTTCTGTCATCTGCCACCAGTGAGTACAGTCTAGCTTCATCCTCTTTGTAATCACACTTCAGGTAGTTGAAGGCTGTAGGGGTGTGCGAAGCAGGCCCTATTCAATTTGGATGTGGATTCAGGCTGAACCAGAGACAGTGATTTGATTCATTGATGTGGATCACTGTCACTGATTCGATTTGGCCAAATCTGAATCTGAAGATTTGATACTGATTTAGAGAATCAGTGATTCGGACACAGACACAGACACAGCTTTAAAAGTGTTTTCTATATACGTTGAAGTAGCAGGCACAGCTCATGATTGCTGTGATCCTGGGGTGCATGAAGTGTCCCACAGGAGTGCGGGGGGGCCCTCCATGTGCTCAGCAGTGAACCCAGAAGTGGACCAGAAGTACTCAGACCCAGAAGGCACCAGTCACTGAGCTGGGGGGTGCGGGAGGGGTCCACACTCCAATTCAATGCAGAGAGATTCAATGATTCAGAAATAGACACAGATTTATATGTTTTTTCTACGTACCTCAGTACCAGGCAGCTCATGAACGCTGAGATGGTGGGGTAGATGGAGCGTCCAATGGGAACACAGCGTGGTCCCCAGTGCACTCAGCAATGGACCCTCCCCCACCTCCTGGCTCAGCAACTGGTGCCTCCTGGGCCTGGGGGATTACCCAGAATCCCCCCACAGCTGATCACCGAGCCAAGGGGCATGGGGGGGGTCCACCCCCTCACTCCTGTGGGACATTCCATCCGCCCCACCATCTCAGCATTAGCGAGCCATGCTGGTACCTCAAGGTATGTAGAAAAAAACATTTAAAGCTGTGTCTATGGCCGAATCACTGATTCTCTGAATCAGAATCAAATCTTCAAATTCGGATTCAGCCAAATGAAATTGGGAAAGTGATCCAAATCAAGAACTTGAATCTCTGTCCCCCAAATTGGGCCGAATCCAAATCCAGATTGAATATAACCTGCTTCGCACACCCCTAGTGGCTATACCAATTAGCATTACTACCCTGGTGGTACTGTATTAGAGTCAGTGGCAAAACTCTTGTTCATCTTCAATGGTGTAGGAAGAGACCTCACATAGCTTTATATTCTCTGTGTCACTAGCTGATAGTTACAAGATATGATCTGTTCTTGATGGTAACTCACTGAGTAGCTTACTCTGCATTGTGCTTCTGTTTGCAATCTGATGGAATAATATCAGGAAATACTCTGAAGAATGAAGCAGTGCAGCCAAATAAAGATGGGAGAATAAAATCATCTACAACTGGAGCCTCTTTGGGTAAAGGCTATGGTTCAGCCTTCCAATTGACAGGTATTTCTGTTTGTGAGGGATTTTATTTGCAATCCTGCATACTATTACTTTTTCCATGAGAGAACAGAGAGGGGCAGTAATTACTGAGTCTGGATTAAGAAATAGTTGAAGGTCAGATGGGATTGCTGGATAGAATAATATCTTAAACGGCATGTCAGTAAGCCTACTGAGGCAAGCCTATATGATGGGGTATATAATATTCTGTGATTAGCAGACAGGATTCTTTCCTGATATTAGCCAGTGTCTGTTGTCTATATCAGAAACTGGTTCTGACTTCACCTCATATTGGTGGAGAGCTTGAGATATGCTGGATGTATATACATATCTCCTGCTTTGGCACCTATAAAGTCAGGAAGATGAACTTCAGCCACCAAAGGCATGCAGCTCTTTGACAGATGGTGAGTGAATTCCATCAGGATATGAATTCTACTTGGGAAGTACTTCAATTCTCTGGATTATGAGTGTGTAAGGACCACTAAGTAAATATTAGGTCTACATACTGCACAGCCATGCTTATCTGGATGTGGTACTGCAGACCTGTCTGTGGTGCCACACATTGCACATTCAGGCATTTCCCATGTTGCTACCTTGCAGCATGGCTTTTTTTTTACCCTGAGAGATCCTGGGGTTGAAAAAACACAAGTGGAAAAAAAGGGGGGTGGCATATGTGGCAGCAGTGTGTGCCACCCAAAATTGTAGCCTGGCTCGCTGGAGACATGCTCCAGCTCCCAGCTGCAGGAGCACCATGGCTAGAGCTTTCCTGGCCCATAGGACCCCAGGTAAGGCTGCTGGTGCCAGCACAGATGTTGGCCCCAACCTCCTCTACTCCACCCAGGGTAACCTGCCACATGCCAGAGGGTACAAAGTGTGCTGCTGCTTCTTGTCCTCAGGGAACCAAACGTCTGTGCTCATCTGGATGCAGCCTGGAGTTTATTCCCAATATGGGTTATACAGGTATAAACCAGAAATAACTCCATTCAAATCAGTGGTGTTCCATTAGCGTAAAACTGGTACATCTGTTTCTTAATAAAGTGGGCATTAGAATATGTCTCTGAAAGCTAGTGAATTCAGAGCAGATCATCTCATGAATTAGACATAGCAGTCCTCAGGGAGAGGATATATATTAGGATGTGGCCTTTTCTGATGAACCAGCAATGGTTGGATGCACGTACTTGCTTTTCCAGGCTAGATTATCTTGAAGTTGAGTAGAGCAGTCCATTTTGAAACTGAGAAAATCGGCAGTTCTGATTATTTTTAATGAATTAAACTATAGTGTTGTCAGCTAAAAACAGGACGAGGAGACTGTCAAGCTGTGGGAAATGTATAGCAAGACTAGTGTGATATAAGCAAAACCCAATACCAGTTCCATAATATGGAAAATGATTATATGGTATTTTTCATAGTAGAGTTAAATCTATGGTATTTCTTTACTCCAAGAGATACCTTCCCCCCAGCACTGCTCTAGATTTATGTAGGAAGTTTATGATGATATTTTCCGTGTCAGTGTTCAAAATGCAAAAAACCAAAGAAACAAACAAAACAACCTCCCTATCCCCACCAATCCCCTCCTCCAAGCAAAAGGAAAATCAGTTAAAAAATACGTGTGTTCACAAACCCAGTTAAGCTCCAAAATTGCAGGGAAACAAGGAAAACTGATAATTTAGGCAACAGTCCACCTTTAATCTTTAATTTTTAATACCTGAGTAGTCCCATTAGCTTAATTTAGACATAGGCTTAGTTAAACCTGTGCTTCAGTACTTTGCTATTCTAGGCTGTTAGTGAACTAAATGGGAAAAATGAATTGGAGAAACAAAATGAACTGAAAACTGAAACCTCCAAAGTCTAAACCTTCCAGATGCTGAGCACCATTTACTCTTTGAAGCAGTGCAGGTTGACTGCATATACTAGGATTTGGTCTTAACTCAGATATTCCTTGATTAGGTTCAAAGTAGGATTAGTCCAGGAGAATGGCCCTCTATCTGGGATCTCTGAAGTGTATGTTAATAACCTTTTGTGGAAGGAGGACATTGGCTGTAGTGGTTCTCCTGCCTTACCTGCAGAAGATTAGGTTGTTATCTCTTGTGTTTTGTCAGGTTTGACAGTATCTTACAAAGAGTTTAAATTATGGATTGTATAGGGAGGTTTGGGTAGAGACGATCCTGCCTCAGACATGCGGTTGAACTAGATCAGCATTTCTCAATTAGTGGGTCATGACCCAAAAGTAAGTCACAGAAATATATGAAATATATCGCAAACAATCACAGAAAAATGTGGAAAATCACGGATTTTCTCTTTTAAAGGAGAAAAATTTGGAAAACTGTGGGGTACCCCTTGGAGGCTGGCATTACAAGGGGTTGCTTGGGGATGAGGGGAGCAGGAGAAGGGTGATCAGGCTGGGGGGTGCCACATGCATGTGTGCACACACACATGCATGTGGTAGCCAGGTGGTGTGGAGAGCAGCTCTCACAGATCCCCGCAGGTAAGTCTATGGGGCAAGGTGGCGGGGGGAACAGATGATGCATTGGGAGGGCATGGAGCACAGGTGACATGTTGGGAGCCATGGTTGGGCATGTGCCCTCCAAATTTGTGTACCCATAGTGGGCACAGGGCATGGGCACAAGCCACGTTCGCGGTCCCGCAGGCAAGACCTGGTGAGGGAGGGCAGAGTGGGGTGGTGAGACTTGTTGCTGCTGCTGCCACCACCAGGACCCCCATGCCAGCTGCACAAGGAATAATGGGTGGGGGTGGGGTGTGCTGTCCTCACCACCTCCCATCAGCAGACACTCTACAACTCTACCCCGTCACCATGGATCAGCTGCTGCTGCCACTTCTCTCAGGCTGTGGCTCTACCCCAGAGAGGAGGTGGGGTGGCAGGCAGTGTGGGCAGCCTGAGGGAAGCAGCAGTGGTTGTGGCTGGTCCATGGTGGTAGGGTAGAGCTGCAGCCTGGTGGCTGCATTGGGAGGAGGTGAGGGCAGTATGGCGCCCCCTTCCCCCCCATTACTCCTTTTGCTGCTGGTGGTGCAGCTGGTGTGGGGGTCCTGGAGGTGGTGGAAGAAGCAGCGAGTCTCACTCCCCCACTCCACTTTCCCATTCTGGGTCCTACCTGCTGGGCCATGGAGGTGGATCCTGCCCATGTCGGTCTGGCCAGGCTGCAGCCCCATGCCCATTGTGGGTGCACAGATCTGGGTGGCACATGCCCCCTATGCCACCCCCTGTCCTACACACTGGGTCGGGGGCCTGATTGTGGAGGGCAGCAGGTTGGAGTGAGGGGTACCAGCAGGACTGAGGGGGTGGGGGGCTGTGGGTTGGGATTGAGGAGCACCAGCAGGGCTGGGTGGCTGCAAGGTGGGAGTGAGGGGCACCAGCAACTTGCATTGTGCAAATTGCACAATGATGAAGGTTACTTGGGAGTGATGGAAGGCCACATGTTGATATTGCTGTTAATGCTTTCCCGTTGATATTGATTTCTGTCTTTAAGACTGGAGCTGCTTTAACTTGTGTGTAATAAGCACTTCGGGGCCAAACTACTTTTGTGTTTTCTACTTAAACTACTTACTTGGTTGGGACTGGCCATCAATGTTTACAAATGGTTCCTTGTACAAAAAAGTTGAAAATCACTGAAGCAGATGACCTCTAGAGTGTTTTTATACATGCTCTGGGGGTGGGGTGTGCTTTAATTAGAGTGGCTCTGAGAACCACTGTAATTAAAACATCTGCAGTGCCTCATGCATTCCCTCTCTTCAAAATGGCAGCAGGGGTACTTTAACTAAAGCTTGTCTAATGAGCTTTATTTAAACCACCCCACCACCATTTTGAAGTGTGGGACACTGATACACAGGACGTGGAAGCTGCTGGAGAGCGCTAATTAACATGCTTAGACTTGGCTCTGATGCAATGTAATTACAGTGCGTCAGAGCAGCCTCCCTGCCTGTCTACAGGCACCCCTAGATGTCCCTTCCAGTCCTACTCCTCGATGATAAAGCACTTTTGTCTTTATCTATAGTAAAGGGAAGGACAGAACTAGAAGGAATTTGAATCAATGAATGAAATAAACATTTTTCTTAATTTTCCAACTTGTATTTATAGTGCCAAAAAAATGCTAGTTGATGTAAATCAGATTTTAAAAAAAGAAAAGAAAGGTCCCTGTCTGAAGAGGCTGTAATCTACAGAGACAGAAAGCTAAGTGAAAGAAAGTGTTATGAAATACAAAGTCATCAATCTTATGATCAAACAGTGTTCCTTGTTAGGGTGTTGATTCTGTTTACAATATATATTTTAATTTTATTTATATTCTGAAGTCTTAGATTAAGGGATTCAGGGCTGAGACAGGAGAGAGAGAGAGGGTGGAAAGGGATTCTGGAACAAGTGAAATGTGGCTACATAGTAGGGCTGTACGAAGCTTTGGTCTCTGATTCAATTCAGTGGAGATTTGGCTGGATTCAGTGGCTGAATCTCTGAATCCGAATTGAATCAGAAGACCCTTTAATCTCTCTGAACTGAATCGGAACAAAGCGATTCAGACATAGACACAGCTTTAAATGTTTTTTCTGCATACGTCAAGATACCAGGGGTCCTGTGAATGCTGTGATGCTGGGGCGCATGGAGTGACCCAGAGGAGTGAGGGGGCACTCCCCAGCATGCTTGGCAGCAGTCCCAGAAGTGGATCAGAAGTACTTCCGGTCCAGTTCCTGGTCCTCTTGGGAGCACACAGGGGGACCCCTTGCGGCCCCCCAGCTTGGTGACTGGTGCCTCCTGGGTCTGGGGGGGGCACCTGGGGTCCCCCCGCAACCAACTGCTGAGCTGGGAGGGTACAGGGGGTCACCCAGCATGCTCCCTGGCGGACCTGGAACTGGACTGGAAGTATTTCTGGTCCACTTTTGGGTTTGCTGCTGAGCATGCAGTGGGCCCTCCCACGCTCCTGTGGGACACTCCATTTGCCCCAGCATTGAAGCATTCATGACCCGTGCCTGGTACCTCAAGGTATGTAGAAAAAACTGTG